TGAACAGACTCAATAGAATAGATACAGTCAATAGACCAAAAAAGTATTATCGGTTACAAATAGTCTTAACTTATTAGTGCTACTGTCCTAGCTCTTAGCTTCTCAAGATGCAGCTGGAGCAGACAGTGGAACGTGGGCCGCAAGTAAGAGGGCGTCGGGCCGCATGTTTGACATCCCTGATACTCATCTCGTTTACAGCAAAGGATCCCTTTCTTCGAGTATATGCCATTTCCATTATAGTTTCTTTACATACAGTACAGTTCAGTGTAGTTCCGACAAAGTGATATATATATATATATATATATATATATATATATATATATATATATATATATATATATATATATATATATATATATATATATATATCTTGATGTTTCCATTTTCGATATTGATTTTATCCAAGAATTTATCTTATTCACGTTTCATTGTGGATTTACATGAAATATATATATGTATATATATATATATATATATATATATATATATATATATATATATATATATATATATATATATATATATATATATATATATATATATATTTGTAACCGGTCGGAATTTACTGGACTTTAATTTCTCATTTGACTTGGGGTTTATTAAAGATTGTTAGATGGTAATTGCAGTGGAAGCGCCCCTTTGAGAAAAATCCCGAACCAGCACAAGAACACTTAAATCTACTAAACAAAATGACTTGTCCGTGACCCGTGGAAGGATAGCGTCTGTGACTGGGATGAATGAGACACACTGTAAAATTTAGACACTTATATTCCCTCCAACACTACAAACACAATCAAATAATGGTACACCAATATGCGCACCTCTTAACTTGAACTTAAAACACTACTCTGGGGGAATAAAAGTTATACATGATATTGAAATAATTAGAAACTCAGGCAACAATAAATTTAAAGTAGTAAGAAATGTTGCTTGCACACATGAAACAGGCCTTAAGGGCTTTCAACAAAATAATATCACCCCAACAGATGCACAATTCCTAACCTAACTTAAACACTACTCTGGGGAACAAAGGTTATACCTGAGATCGGAATTATAAAGAAAAATTAAATGCATTAAAAGAATTAAATCACAGTATCACTCTGGTTCCGCTTAGTGACACAACATTCAAAAAACAATACTATCAAAATTATTTAAGAAATATTAAACCACACACATCAAGATAACCTCAGTAACTGAGAAATGGTATCAACTACACACAAATATAGTCACTATTATTGATATGTTACTGGGTCCACCAATACTCGTGAACCATGCTCCACCCAACTCAACATACACCCGTAATAAGGGAGATAAAATGTTCCTTTAGGTATCCCCTAGACTCATGGCCTCAGTGTGTGACCATTAATTTTCTCAGATAGCCTCAGTGTACTCCCAGTGCGTCCATGGGCAGGAAGAGAGAACGCCAGCAGGTGTCTATGGCCAGTAGGTAACACTTCTAGCTGACCGAGGACACGTGGTGTTGTGCACCCCCGTGGTAAGAACTAATCACCCACTGCTGATGCTGGTCCCGTGTCGTTTTAGTTGTCGGGAGCACTCGTTCACTCAAGAGATCCTTTGCTACCCCGCTAACCAGTGACAAGCCTAAACTGATCGTTCTGAAGGCGACAATCGCCAAGCCTCAATCATCAACGGCAGTCTCAAACGGCAGTCAGTCTCTCGCAGCCAACTTCTCGCAGTCAAACTCGCGGTCAAGTGGGTTCTGACGGAAACCCTGAAATGAACTCACTGTTAGCTCTTGTTAACTTTACCACTGCCCTATCTAACCCTGTCTGAGATCGAATGAGACTTACTTGTTATACTGCAATAGTGCAACACAGGTGACTAGGCCACGTGACTATTTCTGTGACGGACGCGCAGGGACGTCTTGTTTGTCTGAATGCTTCCCCGTGACTGAGAGAGAGCCCGCCTCGTGTCCTCTCAAGGCGTTAGCTTAGGCCTACGTGACATATTTTCCGCCTAACTAATAACTCCTTGGGACACCCGTAACATTATTCAGACTGATAAACGATCTATAATAATTTCAAATTCAATAATAGTCCCTTAACTTCATGAATCGCATCATTTTTAATTCGGCAAATTACATTTAATATCACTTAGGTCCAGTTCCACAATCTCTCGCTATGTGCAGGGAGCGCTCTCTTCCCTACGACGACCTTGAAAGCTCAGTATCGCCAATGGCGCGGTGTTTGAAATTACACTGAAATTTCTGAATATTACATATATATATATATATATATATATATATATATATATATATATATATATATATATATATATATATATATATATATATATATATACATATATATATTTAAAATTCTTTGAGGATTCAAGATAGCTGAAGGAGAACTTTCCGCACAACAGGGTTGTGGAACAAAAATTTACCGAATTAATATGGAGACGAATTATGAAACTAAATATCAGTTATTAAATTAAACGTAATGATAGATCGTTTATCAGTCTGAATAATGTTAAGGGTTTCCCAAGAAAGTTAATGAGGCGGAAAATATGTCACGTAGGCCTAAGCTAACGCCTTGGGGAGTTTAGAGGCTGGCTGGTCCTCAGTCCAGTGAAAGCGATCGGACCAACAGGACGTCCCTACGCGTCCGTCCACAGAAATACTCACGTGGTCTAGTCACCTGTGTTGCGCTATTGCAGTATATCAAGTAAGTCTCATTCGATCTCAGATAGGGGTTATATAGGGCAGTGATAAAGTTATTAAGAGCTAACAGTGAGTTAATTTCAGGGTTTCCGCCAGAACCCACTTGACTGCTAGAGATTGACTGCCGTTTGAGACTGCCATTGATGATTGAGGATTGGCGATTGTCGCCGTTGGACCGATCAGTGTAGGCTTGTCACTGGTTAGCGGGGTAGCAAAGGATCTCTTGAGTGAACCTAGCCGTCTGGGTGCCCAGCTAACGACGTGACGATCGTTTGGGGTCATCAGCTCTCCTCTACCTCGGCTCACAACACCACATATCTCAAGCAGCTTAGTGAAACCCTTTTGCTAACGGGAAGCTAAAGCTTCTCTCAACTGCACAAGGTCTAATTGGCTCACTCCCTTCCGTTTCATGGATGTACTGGGGATAAAGTGAAGCCAGCTGAGTGATACAGGGTCGCACACTGGGACCAAGAGTCCAGTGGAGGTTAGAGGTACATTTTCAAGGTGGAGAAAGGCTGATTTGGGCCTTAAACTACGGGTGCCTATTGGTTGTGCCTTAAACGACTACAGTGCAGGTGGAATCTGTGTGTGTGTGTTAGGTTAGGAAGCATGGTTCACGGTAGGTATTGGACTCAGTAACTCTTAATAATAGTGACAATATTTTGTGTATGTGTTCATGTTACTAATGTATGTTGTGTGCATTTAATATTTCTTTTATAATTTCAATCAGGTATAACCTTTGTTCCCCAGAGTAGAGTTTAAGTTAGGTTTTAGGTGTGTATCTGTTGGGGTAATATAATTTTTGTTGAGCGCCCAAAGCCTACTCAGGGTGGAGTTAATAAGTTCATATTTTTTATACCATTTTCTCAGTGCTGGATATTATTTTGTTGAGTGCCCTTAGGGCCTATTCATTGTAGAGATATTGATTTCTTATTTTTTATAAAATTTTCTCAGTGATTGATATTATTTTGTTGAAAGCCCTTAAGGCCTGTTTCATGTGTGGAAGCACTTCTTAATACTTAGGCTTATTCTTGTCTAATGAGGCAGTGCCGAGTTTCTGATAATTTCAATATCATGTATAACCTTTAATCCCCACAGTAGTGTTGTAAGGTCAGGTTAAGAGGTGCGCATATTGATGTACCATTATTTGATTGTGTCTGTAGTGTTGGAGGGAATATAAGTGTCTAAATTTTACCATGTGTCTCATTCATCCCAGTCACAGACGCTATCCTTCCACGGGTCACGGACAATTCATTTTGTTTAGAAAATTTAAGTGTTCTTGTGCTGGTTAGGATTTTTCTCAAAGGGCGCTTCACTGCCATTACATCTAATAATCTTTAATAAACCCTAAGTCAAGTGAAAAATTAAAGTCCAGTAAATTTCCGACCAGTTACATATATATATATATATATATATATATATATATATATATATATATATATATATATATATATATATATATATATATATATATATATATATATATATATATATATATATATATATATATCAATTACCTCTGAAAGATGTCTTGAATAAAGACGAAAAGCTAAGAACTCCGTTGTTTCCATTTTCCGTGTGATTTTATCAATATATATATATATATATATATATATATATATATATATATATATATATATATATATATATATATATATATATATATATATATATATATATATATATATATATATATATATATATCTTGATAAATCACACGAAAAAAAAACAACAGGCTACCCCTTTCCGTGTGATTTTAACAAGATTTATCATATCCACGTTTTCATTGTGGATCTGAAGATGTGAATTACAGTATATATATATATACAGTATATACAGGGTGAGCATAAAGTCTTTCCCTGATTACAAACATTTATTACACAAAACATATGCTAGGTACAAACACACAGTTTATTGCAGCTTAAGATATGCATGAAAAAAAAATCTATGAATTCGTCTACGCAATGCTACAACATTCATGTTTCTATCTAGAATGGTCTTCGGGATATGATTTTTCATAATTAGGAAAAGACTTTATGCTCACCTTATATATATATATATATATATATATATATATATATATATATATATATATATATATATATATATATATATATATATATATATATATATATATATATATATATATATATATATATATATATACAACTTGTAGTATTAAATAATTAAGATGTAGGTAAACAACTAATTAAAAGGTACAGTACCATGATATGAATAGCTTGCAGTAGAGAAAGTAATACATTCAAACTTTAACGTGAAATGTACAGTATATGGACATAAGTTTAAGTTAAAATACCTGCGCGAAAGAGCTATTCTCACATGTGGTGCACATTTCGTTGTATAATGGGATCACTGTCTCTGCCAACACTAGTTCCTTGAGAGTAACCTTGCTCGCCGGTAGTTCATCGATGTTCTTCTCTTCCTTAAAGGTGGGAAAAATGTACACTCGGGGTTTAGTAGTTGAGGATACATCTGGCTCTTGGAGCATTTTGAAGAATTCTGAAAGACAATAATAGATTACTAATACATCTGATATATTAAACAAACTCGAATGAAGTGTGGGAATTCCACTTTCTCCATTTTCCTTTCAATTTTTAAGAAGAATTTTTATGAATCTTTTTTGCAACAGGTTTGTAATGTTGCTAGAATTTGTCACACAATGTAGATAACAACATCTGCATATGGCTGACTTCTGTGACACCTAGAATATTTTGGAAAATAATAATAATCGTCTTCCAAACACCGATTTAACGGTTCAAAATATTCAGCGAATCTCTCACCGTCTTTAATATTAAGCTTAAGGGACTCTAGTTACAATTTGAAATCTAAAATTTCCAGAAACGTTACTAAATGGGTAAGTTTTCATATGCGTCATACCAATCACCACGAACACATAACTGTAGGTTATGTATATAAGCTACTGTGCCGAGTAGCATTTATATATATCATCACGTGGCAACACTGCACGTTATGTGGCAACATTGCCCCGAGGCTGCCATATCGCAAGGCAGCCTCAGTCTGACTGTGTGAGCCATGCATGGCACACGTGAGTCACCACTTGTATTTCTCTCATCCATAATAAACGGACTTCAGTGTTACCCAGTGTTTCCCTACGCATCACTGCATTCTTCAGGGAACACTAGTAACCACCATGGCGCAGTGTCTAGGATCTGTGGACTTACAAAGTGTGTGAACAATGCCGACAGTTACGTCTGCCGGTGATGCGCATCGACTCATAGTGTGTTGTGTTGTGTTGCGCTGTGTTTCGCCGCGATGTGCAGTGTTGCGCCGTCACAGTGCGTTTTAGTGACGGTGGCAGTGTTAGTGTCAGTGTATTAGTGTGTGTCTAGAGCTGAGAGTTGAGCATTGGCCTGTTTTTTTTGTGGTACCCACGGAGCACGCAGCCGTACACCCTTCTCGTGTGACATCCGGGAAGACACTGACGGTCTCACTCCCGCCGCGTCTCCAGCCACCGGCATTAAGGCCACCACGAAGCGATCTCTCAGACACACACACACGCACGCACGCACGCACTCACTCACGGACAGAACAGTGGACCATATGCGTGATTTCTGCGCTGTTTATGTCATATATATGTGGTTCGAGCTGTTGAGGCGCCACTTTATATACTAAACAGTGCAGTCCACGCACACACAAAGATGGGAGGTAAAAAGGGACAACGTCAAGATGGGAGACACGACTCCCCACCACCTTCCCCTCCACCGGGCGCAGACTCTCATCCTCCACCTCCTGTGACGGACATTGCCACAATTCTGAGGTGGATGGACGACCGGGACGAGAGACGCAGAGAGATGGAACTTCAGAGGGAGGAGACACGAAGAGAGGAGGAAAAGTTGCGTTTTGAGGCACTATTGGCGGCCCTGGCGCTAACCCACCCTCCCTCACTCGCAGGTAGCGCGCTTCAAGGCGCCAGTACACTCCCTCCTCCATCACACCAGCGTCCTCCAGGTACTCTTGCCTCCAAACAAACAGCTCCCAAGGCATCTGTTCAACCCCCACCCGCCCTCTCACCAGACGTCACGTTTCAGCTTTTTCGTGAATGGAGGCGGCGTTGGACAGATTACTCCACGATGGTGGACCTTGACAGCATGCCTCCAAACAAACAGCTAATCCAACTGCGGATGTGTTTGTCGCTGGAGTCCCAGAGAGTTTTGGAGCACACGTTGCAAGTGCCTCCCGATTCTACCTCTTCAGTGACGGATGTGCTCGACCTTTTACAGGAGCATGTTAAGGGTCGGAACAACGAGGCTTTGCGTCGCCGTGCCTTCACCAGCTGCAAGCAGGCGGAGAACGAATCCTTTGACGACTTTTTTGTACGCTTGAAGAGTTTGTCAGAGGAGATCGCCGTCTGCAAGGCGCACAGCCGGGAATGTGAGGAAGCCTGGATCAAGCACGAGATCTTGACAGGTGTCAGGCATGAAGAGTTGATGCAGCGACTCATCCCCCTGGACGCTTCCTCCACACTCCAGGTGGTAGTGACTGAATGTCGGTCATACGAGGCCAGCAAGTCCGCCACCTCTGCCTTACGGGCCCCACCTGCTGTGAGAGCTATCTCACAATACAAGAAGGATAAGAAGGCGGCCAACAACGCGAAGGCTGCCACACGTCCTTCCACGCCTCCGCCTGGTGCTTCCTGTGGCAGCTGTGGAAAGCAGCACAGCCCCAAGACATGCCAGGCCGCCGACGCACTGTGTCGTGGATGTGACCGTAAGGGCCACTGGTCTAACACAGACAGGTGCCCTGCACGAGGCCGCAAGTGTCAGGCCTGCGGTCGCTATGGACACTAAGACAAGTACTGCCGCCAACCCAAGCCCAAAAGCCCGAGACGAGGAGGAAAGCAGCGCACTTCCCTTGGGGTGGTTCGCACGCAGCCCCCTCCAAATGGCCCACGCAGCCCCAAGCAGCAGCGGAGTCACATCAGGAGGGTGGAATCGACCACACGCCCCAGGGCTACCCCTGCCCAGATCCTGTATGGCCACCCTCTCCGCTCTTGCGTTCCTGCACACGCCAAGGCCTTTGCGAAGGACTGGCAGACCAGAGCCGAGAGCTGCGACCGCCGTGCCGCTACACGTGCGCAGGACGCCAAGGCTCGGTATGACGACCGTGCCCGCCCTCTTCAGCCAGTGGAGATTGGTGCCCTTGTCCTCGTCCAGGACCCAACGACGACACGTTGGGACAAGGTGGGCATAGTGATGGGCGTCGGCCGGTCGCGGGACTACAAGGTCAGGATGCCGAGTGGCCGTGTCTGGTGGAGGAACCGCCGCTTCCTCCGGCCAGCCCCACCCCCTGCTGCTGGCCCCCTGACCGAGGACGAGTCACCTACACCTCACGAGGATCCGCCCCACAGTGCACCTCGACGCTCGGAGCGACTTAGGACTAAGAAGTCCACTCAAGACAAAGACTATGAGCGTGAGGGGGGAGGGAGATGTAGGTTATGTATATAAGCTACTGTGCCGAGTAGCAACCCTGTATATAAGCTACTGTGCCGAGTAGCATTTATATATATCATCACGTGGCAACACTGCACGTGTTATGTGGCAACATTGCCCCGAGGCTGCCATATGGCAAGGCAGCCTCAGTCTGACTGTGTGAGCCGTGCATGGCACACACGAGTCACCACTTGTATTTCTCTCATCCATAATAAACGGACTTCAGTGTTACCCGGTGTTTTCCTACCCATCACTGCATTCTTCAGGGAACACTAGTAACCACCAATAACAATATCAATATTTTCTAGAAAATATTAAAAGCATTGTGAATATGTGTACCTAAATTGCCTTATAAAGATATCCAATATGTTTTCAACCTGGCTTATAAATTATGTTATTCTTTAACAGTTATTGACAAGTGTTGCAATATGACCAAGATAAAATACTCTCGGATTATTTCCAATGAACATTCACCCATAAGAAAATAATGGCCTGTTAATTTTTTATGAATCATTTTTAGCCCTTGACCAACATTTTAATGTAACTGAATATCAATATAATATATAAAAAACAAACATTATTTTGAAAAGTGTTGATAATGAATAACCAGCATATACAAAATATCGTCTCATATACCCGTGCGAGCCACTACCAGTGCCCCCACCTCCGCTGTCGCCGCCCACGTCATCTCCCAGTGCCGCCAACGAACGAGGCCCCTCCAGTCCCTCACCCACGGCCTCAAAGGAGCCTCTGTCAGAGTTCTACGTCTCATGTACATTGCCATCGTCAGAGCTGTCATAGATTATGCTTCTCCTGCCCTTGTAGTTGCCTCCCAGCGCGAGAAACAAAGCATAGAGAAAATCCAGAACAGAGCAATGAGACTCATCCTCGGCTGTCCTATGACCACCAGAATAGAGGTCATGCAGCGTGAACTGATCTTGCTCCCCGTCTGCGATCGAATTACTGCTCTCAATGCCATCCTTGGTGTTAAAATTCTTCGCAGTGAGCAACCGACTCCCCTGTCGCACTCACTGAACTCACATCTTAACACCCTCCTGCGCCGGCCTGTCCCAATTACCTTTCCCTCCCCTTCTCAACACTGGCCCGTCCACACTGCTGCTGACATCCTGCGTTATCACCTCTACACCCCCTCGACCTCTCTCCATCCCGAGTACACTCATCCGCTTCTACCGCTGTGGACTTCCCAGAGTGTTGATGTTGTCGTCCACACTTTCCCTGGTCGTAAATCCACCCAACTGCGGTATATGCTCAAACTTAACTGCCTTGAGCAGACTAATGATGTCGCATCCTCTCTTACGACCTCCCACCCTCCTATCTTCGTCTACTGTGATGGGTCTGTTACCACGCTGGGCAGCGCTGGGGCAGCTGTGTGGATTCCTGAGCGCCAGGCCCGCAGGAAAATCAGGGTCCACGAGTGGGCCTCCTCCACTGACACTGAAAGCATAGCCATCCTCTCGGGCATTCGTGAGGGGGCGACCTATGCTCGCACTGAACGCCGGAACCTCCTTATAATCACGATGCACTTTTCTTCGCGAGCTCACCACTCCCCCACCCCCTCCTCCCAACACACCCAAGCCGCCGTCGCCGGGCTAAAACAAACTGATGACATCCATGTCAAGTTTATTTTGATCCCTTCACTGCCTGTGACACTGTTGATAGGCTTGCCAAAGAAGCGACGCAATGAGTAGTTATTGAAGCCACCCTCGCAATCTCTCTGAATCATCTCAAATCTCGCATACACGCCGACAAAATATTATTCTCCGGAATGGCAAAACCCTATTTATCAATCTTATAATCAGAATAAATAAGTATATTATTATTTTTTGTAGAAATGTAGTTTATGAAAATAATTACTGCATTGTAGGCTGCATAATGCGACAGCTTAAAATATAAAACATAAAAATACATGCTTGAATTAATACATAATATTCATATATGACCTGAATGCACTCAATGGCCCCAGGGTAACATAACACATGATCTGAGGTAGTGACACGGCCCCAGAATCATTTTATACTGTATATTTAAGGAATTTACCAGGCTGGTTCGTTTTACTCTCTCGGGATAGACAAAAAGTATACACTGCTACATCTGCCTCCAGACTAGAGGTCCTTTGCGTCGTACGGCGTTGCGGGTGGTAAACTTGTACTACGTAACTATATGTATATCTCGATTGATATGTTTATTTTACATCATCTATGCATACTGTGAGTAAAACATTGTAAATGGCAACCAATTCCTGAAAATTCTATGAACTCTCTAATTACCCCCCGCCCCCTTTTCTCATGATCTTTCTCTATAGTACTTACCAGGTATGATGTCAGTGGAAGGGTAGAAATCGACATCAGAAGGAATGACAAAATACGTCTGGGCGGCGAGCCTGGCCGCGTTCCTGGCCACATTGACGGGGTATAACAATCCTTGCTGGAGTCGATATGTCGTCAGCTTCGATAAGTCGGGCAACTGCCGGTTACATATGCTTTTCCTCCTCAGCACCTCGTTTGTCGGGGGCACCTGCAACACGCAGGGTCAGGGATAGAGAAAAGAGTTATCGGATCTCACAGAAATATTTTCAATGGGGTGGGTGGTAAAACATAGTGACTATATAGGGAATCACCTTTTACAGAGTAAGTCAACTGACTAAAATAATATGTTCTGTCTGCCTAAACACAAACACAAATTTACAGTCTTAATACAACTTACTAAAGCTAATTAGTTAAATTTACCTAATTATACTATTAACTAACAATGACCACGATAAACATGTTGCAGTATATGGAAATTCTGGAATGATTTTTGTATGTAGCGGCCCTTTTACGAAATTATCCGTTAGCAAAAAATCCAAATACCTGGCCTTTTTCCATTATGGCATCAAATGCTTGCCCCCTACAAAACTGCATGTACTGTATATGTGACTCATGTCTCGCTGCAATACGGCAGGGTGGGGAGGACCACTGATCGATATACTGTACATGCAGTTTTGTAGATAATTTCAGCTTCCTACAACTGGAGACACGGGTACTGAATCTGCCGAAAGTTTGAGATGCTCATCTGATCCGATATTGAATTTCTTCATCGATGTCTGCGGTGGTGGACAAATGGGAGCTAAGATACTGAAAGTGGGAAACATTAAAGAGGGTAGTGATGTTAATCTGGGTGGATGGTGTAGGTGTGGCTGAATCTGGGGCAGGCTGAAAGAGAATCTGATTCTTATGTACAATCACATCAAGGTCGAAGTGTGCATACACATCTGCTCAGGTGTTCAGGTTTCCCTGTACATGACGTACAGTGTGAGCGACGAGGGTGAGATTGCCTGCATATTCAACTTCATTGATGAAAGCAGACGACACATTTACTCCTTCCTGGAGTCGTGTCTGTTGAAAAATCCCTTCACAAGGTATTGGATGTCAGACCCGCCGGCTAAATTGCCACTGGAACGAGTAAGGAAGGTAGCCAAGAAAACGGAAAAGAGAGTTGGTGCAAGTACAAAGCGTTGTTTTACCATTGTTTGGCTACGGAAGAACTTCGACAGGGTACCAATGTGCAGGACACTGCCGTTCATGCCATTGTGGAGTTGTCTCACAATGGCGGTGAATTTTAGTGGGCAACCAAAACGATTGAGGGTCTGCCAGTGCTTCCCTGTTGCATAAGCACGCATAAGGTCGAGGGTTCGAATCGTGGCTGGTGAGGTCGTTGATTATATGTTGAAAGTCCACGTGCTATATGGACTAAATGAAAAATCGGCCCATGGTATTAATGATGTAGTTCTATGTGCAGAATCATGTGATATCTTCAGATTTGAAAGGTTTTCATTTTTTGCTAGGTAAATTTTAACTTGAAATCTTATGAAAATTCAGTATTCCCACCCTTTTACCAACAGCACTAAATAGCTTATTTAAAGTAAAGTAAATGTATCAGGTTAATTTATTAGGATGAAAATGATCCAGAATAGTGAAACGAATGATCTTGACACATTTATTAAATTTACACCTTTAGAAAACAAAATCATCAAATACAAAAACCGGTTTTACTACTACGACCCGGTGTTGCTGCACACCATAGAGAACATGTCTTTCTTGTTCTGTTTCTACCATCACTCCCCTGCTGACCACCTGAGCTCGGATGTAGCCTTCTCCTCTCCTGGCTGTACACGTGACTGCTGGCCTCAAGCTCACTTGCTGCACACAACGGCCTATACTCTGGGTGTGGAGGCCAGGCAGGGACATGCATGGGGTTGTCCAGGAAAGCTCTGACTTGAACATTGTGAGGCTGCAAGAGGGGCTCACTGCCAGCCTGATGTTATCCAGATCTATGAGATCAGTGAGGTCTTGCAGAGCATTGTCTGCAGAACTGCCTCGGGATGAGCATACCAGGAAGATCTCCCCACAGTCTGCTCCACAATCTGAACAACCTTCCTTGGCTGACTCCTCAGGAGCTCAAGCTGGAAGAGAACATGCCTCGGACCTTCGGAGAACGATGACTTGACCTTGGTGTTGAACCAATTTGGTAAGTAGACACTCACGATGAATTGGTCAATAAGTCTCAGGTTGTGAAGCTGGTTCCCTTTCAGTTTATGATGAGCGATCCAAATTCTGCAGAACCTGAGAGCCGTTGTGAGCCACCTAGAATGTGAGACTGGACCCCATCTGCAGTGGGCGTTTAATTAGGCATGACCCCAGTTTTGATGGCACTCGCAATCATAACCATCGTACCATTACTCAGGTCGATTTTTTTCAAAGCTCGGACTTATTTCTTAACTCAGTGGCAGAGTCCAGCATCTTGCCAAGAGACCAGACCATCTGTTGTTTGAAAGAGTCTTGCCATCCAGCCTGGATCAGATGTCTGAGTGGCAACTCGTTGGTGTGGAGGTCACAAACAATCCAGACCAGCTTCCTCCCAATCTTCCGCTCTATCCACTGTGGCACTCTTGCTACCCTGTGTTCGTGTTGGTGCTGTCTCCAAGGCCTGCAGGGTCTGGTCTACGTTCCTCTCTGAGCCAGTTCACAATGTTATCTGCCACTATCTCAGCTGGTTTCCTGATGTCATCTTTTTCTGGAGTGAAATGCCACAAATACTTCCCTCCTGGTTCACTGCAGCAGGAGGTTCCTCCTTCACCATGGCAGGGAAACAACTTGTCAGAATCTCAACTTTCATGAACACTTTAGTGTCATCCCTCTCCCATCAAAGAACAAACAATTGATTCCATTTTCTCTATCCCTTATCAAACTCCTCTTCTAGGTTACTGACAAGTTTCTCCTGAGCCTTACTTTGTTATGATCTATCACCAGGTGAACATCATCAGGTGTTATCAAACCACCGTCAATCCAGGCAGCTGTTGCTATCTCTGCAGTTTCTAGACCAGTGTGGTGTCGCATGCTGGCCAGAGCTTATGCTCGATATCTTTCCTATTTCGAATCTTATGCCCGGAAGGTTTGGGGATCATTATTTTCGGGTTAGGGACAAAGTCACCATTCTCCTGGTCAGCACTCGGATCAGCCATGGGGAAGTCATTAAACTCTGAATCAGCTTGACTCCAATCATCGGCCTTTACCTCACCCCTGGCCTTCAAGTCTCTTTTTCCTCGGCAACTCTTCTCCTCTTCTGTCTCTGTGGCAGCCTCCTGTCTCTTGACTCGGAATATCTTGGCTAGAAATCATGAGAGCCCCTATACTGCCAGTCTTCTCTCTTGTGCTTTGACAAATGCCAGTTCGATCACAGGAATCTTCAGTTCACGCTTGCAACAGGAGATGTGGGCCTGGATTACAGTCACGATCGCATCCAAACTCAGGACAGAGAACAATTGGGCACTTGCAATTATGTCAAATAACTGGTCCAGTTGCTTGCAAAGCTGTCCTTAACTGCAAGTTTTCTCTCTCCCAAGAGAGATATCTCTTGCCTTTTTTCCTGCTGTGCGTCTCTCTCACTAATCTTCTTCTGACTTGTTATGACTGGAGGCTTGAACTGAGCGTTAGCCAGAGTGTACTGTGCCAAGACAGCTTTGGTCATATCACTGGCAATGTCTTTTGTTTGTGTAAGTTCTTTGGTTCTTTTCACTGATTTGCCTGATTAAAACACCGTATCTCAAAGCATCTCTCAATGTAGGCAACTCCGACTTCAGGAGCTCTTCCCAGACCCAAGATAGTGACTGAGATGGCTGGATTTGGTTCGCCCTGACACAAGCAGCCATCGCAAATATTATCAACTTATAAATGCATCAGAATCTGAAACAGAAAAAATATTGTTAGTTGGGTTGTTAAAGAATGAAGTCAGAAAGCAATGTTCACTATTTAATTGTAATGCACTAATGCAGCTGTATTTGTAGATTTTCATAAATTTCACGCTAAAATTTACCTAGCAAAGGTTGCAAAATATTGAAACTGAAATTATTTTCTGTTTATATACACTAAAATCTACCAAAAAGTGATGGGCCATTAGTTTTAGCTGATCTTTCCCTCTTATGACACAACCTAATATATATATATATATATATATATATATATATATATATATATATATATATATATATATATATATATATATATATATATATATATATATATATATATATATATATATATATATATATATATATATATATATATACACACATTATGTGTATATATATATATATATATATATATATGCAAGTAAATCACTGTAGGTGCGCGATTTAGGTATATGCTGATAATACAAGGAAAAGAAGAAACACTTAGTTCAAGCGCTTTCGTAATTCACATCTTCAGGGGTGAGTACAGACTAGGAGAGTAATACAAATCAAGGTGTATATATACAGAGTGAGGGTGAGACCAGGTCCACAATGGTCAGGTATTAGGTAATGACCCTACTAATCTTTAAATAGCACACAATGTTGTGGTCGGGTCAGATGGTCAAGTGACCTGCCTTCAATTCTGGTCAGCTTGATGTAACGTCACTTTTACAAAGGTCCTAGTTGATGATTTACTAGAGTTCCTATAGATTC